GAACAATTGAGAAAGAAAGTAATTAAGATCTATAAGTCTGGAAAGGGTTATAAAGCCATTTCCAGCTTTGGGAATCCAGCGAACCACAGTGAGAGCCATTATCCACAAATGGCGAAGACATGGAACAGAGGTGAACCTTCCCAGGAGTGGCCGGCCGCCCAAAATTACCCCAAGAGCACAGCCACGACTCACCTAAGAGGTCACAAAAGACCCCACAATAATGTCCAAAGAACTGCAGGCCTCACTTGCCTCAGTTAAGCTCAGCGTTTATGCCTCCACCATCAGAAAAAGACTGGGAAAAATTTGGCCTGCATGACAGAGTTCCAAGAAGAAAACCACTGCTGAGCAAAAAGAACATTAAAGCTCGTCTCAATTTTTCCAAAACACATCTTGATGATCCCCAAGACTTTTGGGAAAATATTCTTTGGACCAATGAGACAAAAGTGGAACTCTTTGGAAGGTGTGTGTCCCATTACATCTGGCGGAAAAGGAAGACTCCATTTCAGAAAAAGAACATTATACCAACAGTAAAATATGATGGTGGTAGTGTGATGGTCTGGGGCTGTTTTGCTGCGTCAGGACCTGGAAGACTTGTTGTGATAAATTAAACTATGAATTCTGCTGTCTACCAAAAGATCCTGAAGGAGAATGTCCAACCTTCTGTTTGTGAACTCAAGCTGAAACGAACTTGGGTTCTGCAGCAGGACAATGATCCTAAACACACCAGCAAGTCCACCACTGAATGGCTGAAGAAAAACAAAATGAAGACTTTGGAGTGGCCTAGCCAAAGTCCTGACCTGAATCCTATTGAGATGTTGTGATATGACCTTAAAAAGGCCATTCATGCTAAAAAAAAAAAAAAAACTCTAATGTAACTGAAGTAGAACAATTCTGCAAAGATGAGTGGGCCAAAATTCCTCCAGAACGCTTTAAAAGACTCATTGCAAGTTATCGCAAATGCTTGGTTGCAGTTGTTGCTGCTAAGGGTGGCCCAACCAGTTATTAGGTTTAGGGGGCAATTACTTTTTCACACAGGGCCATGATGGTTTGGATTTTTTTCTCCTTTAATAATAAACACCTTCATTTACAAATTGCATTTTGTGTTTACTTGTGTTGTCCTTGACTACGGTTTTAAATTGGTTTGATGTTCCGAAACACTTAAGTGCAAAGTTCAGACACTTTTTCACACCACAGTACTTTTTATAAGCAGCGCCAAGCAAAGAGTAAATTAGATGCCTCAGCTATTTTTTTTTCTCCTTTTTTTCAAAAATTGTGTTTTATCTGTTTTGCAAATGAATTCTTCAACTATAGATGACAATTTGGCTTTACAACTTTAAGCTTAGCTATTCTCTGTTTAGTTTAGCCATCATTGATAGCAAAAATAATTCTGTTGCATTTGAATAATGCACAAAAAAAAAGTCCAAATGGCAATGGTAGGAGCAATGGCTCAGTTGCCCTCTGTTTCTTTCCTAGGGAACACATGGTATTGTTTTCTCAGGGTGAACTTTACATCTTCTTTTTTCTATTTTTAGAGCACTTTAATTTAGGTTTTTTTTTTTAACAGATGTGCATCATATTAACCAAAACTGGAATAAATGAACACCTAATATCAGAATTGGCAAAAGTATTAATGTTTATAACTCAAGTACAAGTAGAAATTCTACTGTTAGAAGTTAGAGTATCAACAGAAGCTATTTACTCAAGTAAACATTGTAAAAGCAGTATTTTTAAAACTGCTTAAAGTATAAAAGTAAAAATAATGTTAAGGACAGATTATTTACAACCCTACCCTATTAAAGGAACATTTCTCTACAATTCTGGATGATAACTTCCTTATACTTAAGTTTTATAAAAAATAGTACCCATGTCCAATTTAACTTTGCATCAATTTGAAATTAACTGTCTGGGTGAAGCTAATTATTTTTAAGGTTTTTATCTTATTTTAAATACCAATAGGCCATAACATAAATGAGCTCAAATAAAACAAAACTATTTAGCCTATTTTTAAAATGTAAGGAGAAGAAAGTATAGATAATTGCAAAAAGAAAAAAAAATTGTAAGGAGAAGAAGTGAAAAATTGTCTAAAACAAATTATTACTCCAGTAAAGTATAAATAGCAGAAATTTCTACTTAAGATAACAAAGGATTTGTACTTTTACTACCTCTGCCTGATGTAGATTACTCAGTTTTAAAACTTTTCACTTTTCAAATAGAATTATGAAAACAATTGGCCATTTTATTAGAAATTGTGAGATATAAACTGCATAACACACAGCAATTATTATCAGAGGTTTCCAAATGATAAGAAATTGAAGAAGATCTTTAAAATAGTTGTGAGGATCCCACAAAGCCTTGGCCACAATAATAGCATCAGCACTGTGTCATGTAATGCTTGTGGTATTATTGTGGCCAAGGCTCTGTGGGATCAATAATACCATCAGCACTGTGTCATGTAATGCATGTGGTCAGCTCTCTGAGATAGCATTTACCAAAACCAGCCAGTCCTTAAAGTCATGACAGCGGAGAAATAACATGTAAGTAGTCAGGTGTCTGTTTTGCTTTATGAGGACCCAATAAAAAAACAAAAATAAAATCACAAAGTACGTTTTGCTTATATGTTTGAGTTCACCTTCAACTTTAACACACATCCAAACCAAGCAGAAAAACAGACTGGATGTAGAGAACAGCCTGGTATCAGCTGTTTTTTCACACTGAGCAATGGAGCTCATGAAAGCAGCTCAGGTGATTTGATGAAAAAAAGTAAAACTAATTAAGTCTATCTGACTATAATTTTTGTTCCGTTTATTTTATTTTTATTTTTTTCCCAATCCATCAGAGGCGTAGCCAGAAATTTTTAATAAGGGTGGCCAGGCAATAACCAATATACACTGAGGGGTGGCCGAAAGTGGATAGACGCCAGAACCTCAGGGTTAAGCCAAAGATAAGACAAACTATACTTTCCTACAGCCTTTGCTAACAAATAGACGCATATATTTAAACATCCAAGCTTTCTAAATAAAGGGTATAGTGGATACAATACTTTCAGGTTTGAGTTCTGGCGCAAACATCTTTTCCATTGTCATTACTTACTTACTTTTATCAATAATAATTCTGCATAAAATTGATATTTGCAAGTACTAATGTCTACAATAATTGATTATTTAATTTAAATATTTATCAAAATAGTTATCATGATTTCACTGAAGATGAATGCAGAGACACATAATTTTCTCTTTACCCAATAACACACAAAATCTAGTTCTGAAAAGATCATGAATTCTGTACTTATCATCTTTGATGTTAGTATATTGATGTGTATAATTAACCAAAATGTTTTTGTCGTGAAGAAATTATGAATACATGGAAAAAATAGTAAGTAATATATGAAAAATTTAAACGAAAATTTGAGAGTATTACTGCTGCCACCATCTGTATGGGGTGGGGGTTGGGCAATGATATGGCCACCCTTGGTCCCCCATCTATCTACGGCCCTGCATTTCATCAATTTTAAATGTGATTATAAGGGAGTGAGCTCCAGTTTTATTAATAGCGGTTTATAACATGATTTTATTTTTGTATTTAATTTGATTCATTACTGAATTGCAGGCAACATATTTATGTTTTATTTTATAAATAAAATTAAATGCTCAAATTAAAAGATTAACTAAAATAGTATTCATTTCAGTTATTTTAAGTTACACTTTTAGACAACCATCAATACTTTTGACTGAGAGGGGAACTCACTGTAAGACAAAATGCCCAATGGGGAACACAAGTCAAAAAGGTTTGGGAACTCTGACATAAAGGATCAATAATCAATTACATATTGAGCTGTTGAGCAAATTAGATTAAATTCTATTTATCAGAATCGACTGATCAGATCTATGGAAGCAAATCGTTACCATATTTCAAATGAAAAAGCATTTTCAGAAATGCAGGAAACTGGTTGACATACTGAACGACCACAATGACCAAAACAGTGGCAGAACTACTGAGGGAGGCCACTGCTGCTTTAGAGCAAGTGCCTGCTTCTTAAGAACCTGTGACAACACCGACTGTTCCTAAGTTTCCCGTCCGCACGATTACAATGTAATGCAATGCAGACATGCACAGCGCCCCCTACCGAACAAGATGGATAGCCCGTTCAGCAAAGACCTGAGGAAGAACGGCTGCTAACGTCACTCTGCTGCGCCAGCCGCTCAGAATGCTTTTTAGTTTTCGAGTTATAGAGAGTACTTTGCCCCAGACCACGAAAACCGAAAAAGTAATGTCCGCTGTGTTTTCTCTTTGATTATGGCATAGAATGTGCAGTCTTAAAGAAGAAAATACAAATGCAAATAAGATGATTGATTACCAATTTAATTTAGGAGTCAAATAATGCAGGCACATTCTTAAAATGAAAAAACAGTTCTGGAAATGCTTTTTCATTTTCAAATTTTAGATTTCAAAATAAAATGTATTTGCTGGGGTACATTTTGAAAAAATAAATCTCAAATGTCTTTTCCTTTCTCATTTTAATTGAGTAAAATATTGAGCATTGTTAAAGAAGAAAATGAAAATGCAAACAGGATGATTGATTACTAATTTCATTTATGAGTCAAACAACACAGCCACATTCTAAAATGAATAAGTATTTATGAAAATGCTTTTCATTTGAAATATGGTAACGATTTGCTTCCATACTATGGTTTGCTTCCATACAGATCACGCGCTAATCAGACAGTGACAGACTGTTTTCCTGTTTATCCAAAGCGGCAGTTTTTAGAGTAAAGGTGAGCAGAGGAAGGTGTGGCCAACAGGTGAAATACTAAATCTCTGATATCGTTACTCCACAAGCAAAGAAAATAAAAGCTCGAATCTCATAAAACACTTGGAAGTTTAATTTATAGGCAACTACATAAACCCCTGCTATTTCCTTTCGATTTGAGCGCACATAGTAAGAAACGCGTCTCTCCAGGTAGACAGTTAAGTTAATTTAGATAAAAAACGGCCACACTCACCCAAAAGACGCAGGCGTAGAAGGCCAGGAGGAATTTCAGAAACGTGTAAGAAAATCTTTTACAGTGGCTAGACTCTCCGCTTCCTCCAGCCATTCTGTCATAGAGTAGCCTATAGAGCGTGTGCAGTCCGAGCGGCTGTCGATTCTGTTGACAAAAGCTCACTTCCGGGTGTACATCGTTGCCACACCTGTAGGCGCGCGTGCATTGAGTGGTCGTAAAGGGCTGAAATGCAGGTATGCAGGGGCGGAGCTAGATGGGGGGCTAAGGGTGGCCATGGCCACCCCTTTGTCCACCCCACCATGTTTTCCCTCTAATACAGACAGTGGCAGCAGTAATACCCTCAAGTGGAATATTATATAAACGTTTAAAAAGATTTTGGTTAATCATACACATCAATATACTAACATCAAATATGATAAATACAGAATTCATGCTCTTTTCAGAACTAGATTTTGTGTTATATGCTGTAAAGAGAAAATGTGTCTCTGCAAGTCATCTAGGAGTCTTGAGTGAAATCATAGATAAATAACTATTTTAATAAAAAACGTATCAAATAATCAATTTATGTAAATATTAGTGCTTGTTAATGCCAACTTTATGCAGAATGTTTATTGATACAAGTATGTAAGTAATGACAATGAAAAAGATTTACACCCCAGAACTCAAAACTGAAAGAATTTTATCCACTACACCTTTTATTTAGAAAGCGTGGATGTTTAAATATATGCGTATACTTGTTATCAAAGACTGTAGGAAAGTATAGTTTGTCTTTATTTAGAAAATATGGATGTTTTGCTTGTTAATTGTCTTATTGGAACAGTGTAGATTGACCCTGAGGTTCTGGCGCGTATCCGCTTTCAGCCACCCCTCAGTTATTGCCTGGCCACCCTTATAAAAATGTTCTGCCTACGCTTCTACAGGTGTGAGAGTAGAGTAGACCTTACTAATTTATGAAAATCAACTCCACAAGAAAAACTCATAATTTACACATCTTAATTGAAGTCAGGCCCATCTTTCGGTGTTTTGATTTATTTTTTGGGGGGGTAATTTTGAAGATTACCTAAAAATTAAATGTAGTCTATGAAAGAAAAAAAAAATAATAATAAACTCCTGCTATTTCCATGTACAGGTTGGCAGCAAATGTTATAAGGATTCTAATATATAAATAGGGGTTAACTCAAGTCAGAAAACACATTAATTCGATAGCGTCCTAGTTTTGAGGGTTTTTGGTTGTTTTGTTGTTATATTTTTCTTTGCCTAAAGGGGTTTTTAGAATCAATGTAAAATTATTGTGATTTTTTTTTATTTTTAAAATATTCATTTATTCTGATTAGTTTTATTTAACTCATCATGTTCTTTTTAAGATTAATAATGGAATAAAAACAGTTTGAATCCCTCAAAGAAATAAGCTGGATAGAACTCTTCCATGCTGATTGTATAGAGGGGCCCTTGGTCTTTTGCCCCTGAGAGGTGATGTGCTGCTTTTTCTTTGCCCATCTGGGGTTTCTGTCCCCTCAAATCTCCTTCAATTTGCTGTCAACATGTATCATTAAAGAGATAAAATTTTTTCCAGGTTATCAGTTTGATCATATACCCTGGTAGAAGTAAGCTATGTATTTACACCTGTTCAATTTTTAAACGCACAGAAAATTGGCATTTTGCTTCATGATGTGCCAAAATGGCTTACTGAAGGTCAAAGTGGTCGACAGAATGGGGAAGAAAGTGACTTTAACAGAGTCAAAATTTATCGTATGGCATTTTTGTTCATTCATCTCCTGAGACATTGAAGCAGATGGGCTGCAACAGCAGAGGACCATTTTTGTCAGCTTGTAACAGAAAACAAATAGAATCACCTTTAAAATGTGTCCGCAACAGATTGGAACAAGATGTTGTCCTTAAATGTTCAACATTTGGTTTCACATCCCCACCAACCTTAAACTCAATGAGTTCTACAAAGCAGAAAAGCTTGAATTTTTCTTTTCTGCTCTCTGTATGTTGGCCTTGGTCCTGCAGCTCATGTGAAAGTGTCCACATGCTGCACATGCTGTATACACAGAGAGAAAAAGTTAAGTCATTAAAATCAGCCTGTCTCCCTTCTCTTCAGTGTAAAACCATGCATCAGCTTTTAGTTTGTGGAAAAGAGCCAACCTGAGGAATTACAGATAAGTGGCAGTTTGGTGACAATTGTGGTAAAAGAAAACACAAAAAACCAAAGGAGTAGAAGTGTAAAGGCACGGCTACCATCAGAGTCTACCCGCTGTTTGCTCTGCAGGACACCAATACATACTAGAGACCATTTTGTGAGATGGCATCACTCTAGCTGCAGCGCTATGATCCACAACAAGCCATTCAGTGGCCATTACACCATCATTATGTGAGCACTCAGTATTCATAGAATATCTGTTCCCATCTTCAAAGTTGACTCTCATTTGGATCCCAGTTTTGCTTCTGAGAGGCTTTTTTCTGACTTACATATTTGTGACCCTTTGGAGTTGGAACAAAACCATACATAGATTGACAGAGTCAAAGTTACATATCATGACTGGTAAAAGAAAGACACTCAGGGATAAAGCATATTTTTACCAAATCAGTTTTTATGTATCAATATGAAAAATGTTTCTGCAGTAGTGGTGCCATACAAATGATGGACTAAGGAGATAAATAATAAAGTATCTTTTGTCCTGGTACTTTGATTCTTGCGTCATGATCAAACATGTGTGTGTCATACTTTAACTTGGTAGAAAAAATACACAAAGGTAATAAAAGCAATAAATAAAATAATAATAATGTTCTTGGTTGTTTAAAAAAAAAAAAACTAAGCTAAGAAAAAATATGTCAAAACTTAAAATATGCACTGCAAAAAAATGTAATATAAATAAGTAATTGTTTCTTAAAATAAGTGCATTTTGAATTGAGGAGGAAGTAAGACCATTTGCCCCTGGAACTAGAAAGACAATTTACATTTAAAATAGGAAAAAACAATTGCATTGTCTAATTTCAAGTGCATATTATCTAATTATCTTATTTTAAGAGTAAAAATACTTCCAAACAGGTAAATAGAGAAATCATCTTATTTACCTACTGAAATTAAAGTACAGACAATTAGTTTAAGAAATGTTTTACTTATTTCTAGATCTTTTTAGCAGTGTGACTGACAACCATCATCAAAAACACGGTAAAGAAGAGAGTTCATACAATTTCAGCAAAAATGAGAGTCTGCAGGTATTTGCCATCCTTTACTCTAATGATTAGATATCATCCAGCCTCTTAGATTCTCACAAATAAATCTGTAGGAAGGAAAATGTATTTCAGGAAGGTTTATTTGTCAGGCACTGAAATACATTTTTGTTGTTGTTTATTTTGTGCATTTTCCATGATTTAACACTTTTAGAATTCTAAGATGGGTTGCCTGTGGGTGCACTGGTGCATTTTTATCTTGCAGTAAGAATGTCTGGGGTTTAAAATTCTGGTCAAGATTCTTTTCTGATAAGTTTAGATTTTCCCCCCGGGCATCCTTGGCTCCTATTCTCCCACAGTCCATAAAAATGAGTGTTAGATAAACTGGCCTCCTTTAGGTAAAACCTCCCCTTAGACATAACTTTATATGCATGGTTGTCTGTAGTGTCCATGGAGCATTTTGCCCTTTAGCCCTGGGGATCTGTACTGTCTCCCCAGATTCCCCAGGAAACATGGAACATTTTAAATAGAGTTATTAGGAAATCTTCTAACAATAATAACTATCCACACTATTTTATAGAGAATGAATGGAATATTACTGATTTGAAAAGTGTCGTCAATAAATTCAATAGTTATTTTGTTAATATAGGACCTCAATTAGCAGGAAAAATAACGACTATAACAACTGCAACTCAGCAATATCAAATTGAGAATAATTCCAGCTCCTTCTATCTCAACCCTGTATTAGAAGAAGAAATCATAGACATTGTGAATAAATGTAAAAATAAAACATCCACTGACTGTGAAGATCTGGACATGAAAACTATTAAAATAGTAATCAAAGGAATCGCTAAACCATTAACTTATATCTGCAATCTATCATTTCAAACGGGATCATTTTCCAACAAAATGAAAATAGCTAAGGTCAAACCAATGTATAAAACTGGCAATAAGCACCTCTTCACTAACTACAGGCCTGTCTCTCTTCTCCCACAATTTTCTAAAATCCTGGAAAAACTCTTTAAGAAAAGAGTGGAACAATTTATAGAAAAACATTCGTTACTTAACAGCAATCAATGTGGATTCAGAGCAAACCGGTCAACATCGCTGGCCTTAACTGACTTAATAGAAGAAATAACCAATGCAACAGATAGTAAGAAAATGGCAATAGCGATATTTATAGATCTAAAGAAAGCCTTTGATACAATAAATCATGAAATTCTACTTAAAAAATTAGAACTCTATGGAATTAGGGGAGTAGTTTTGGACTGGATGAGGAGTTATTTAAAGAGCCGGAAACAATTTGTGAAACTGGGAGATGTGGAATCTGACTGGCAGGAGACTGTCTGTGGAGTACCACAAGGATCAGTATTAGGACCAGTCTTATTTAATTTCTATATAAATGATATCAGTAAAGTGTCCAATGTATTAAAATTTATCTTATTCGCTGATGACACAAATATTCTAGTCTCTGGCGACAATTTAGAACATCTCCTCTCAACAGTCACCTCAGAGATTAGTAAGTTAAAGATATGGTTTGACAATAATAAATTATCATTAAATTTGGACAAGACAAAAATCATGGTTTTTGGGAACTGTTACAAAAATACTGAAATCCAAGTTCAAATAGAGGACGTAACTTTAGAAAGGGTATTTGCTAATAAGTTTCTCGGCATAATAATAGATGACAAAATCAGTTGGAAACCTCATATTAAACATTTACAGGGTAAACTTAGTAGAAGCATATCTATATTGGCTAGAGCTAGACATGTATTGAATGCTGAATCACTTCATATCCTATATAATTCTCAGATTTTACCATATCTATCATATTGCTGTGAAGTGTGGGGAGTTAATTACAAGAGCTCTTTACATCCGGTAACCATCCTACAGAAACGAGCCATTAGAATAATCCATAATGTTGGTTATTATGAGCATACAAACCCACTCTTCAAAAAATCCAGAATTCTCCAATTTGACGAGCTTGTAGAATTTAAAATGGCTCAATTT